AGCATCTCCAATGGGGAGGAGAACTGTTTGTAAACAAAACAGTTCTCCTCCCTGTCAGCTCGTGCACACTGCTTTGCATGGCTGTGCACAGCATAGCCATGCAAAGCAGTGTGCTTACAGTGAAGCATATGGACACAGCACATAGTAAAACAGCACATGTTAACCCCTTCCTTCCCAGTACCATTAGTACAGTGTCAATGCTTTTTTTTTTTTTTTTTTTAGCACTGATCACTGTATTGGTGTCACTGGGGATGTCAGTTACACCAAGTCAGTTCCCCCCAGTGTCAGAATGCCCGCCGCAGTCCCGCTATAAGTTGCTGATTGGCACCATTACTAGTAAAAATACAATTTTTTTTAAAAATCCCAGTGTATATATACCACCATTTATAAAAGCTATAACTTTCACATAAACCAATTAATTACATTTTTTTTTTTTTTAGCAAAGACGTAGCAGAATATATTTTGACCTATATTTATGATGAAATTTGATATTTAAAATTTTTTTACTTGACATGTTTGATAGCACAAAGTCTAAAATTTATTGTTTTCTCAAAATTGTCGGTCTTTTTTTATATCACAAATAATAAAAATACCACCGAAAGAAAGCTCAATTCGTGGGAAAAAAGGGATGTAAATTTAATTTGGGTGCAGCGTTGCATGATTGCGCAATTGCCAATTAAAGTAACGCAGCGCCAGTCTGGTCAGGAAGGGGGGTAAATCCTCAGGAGGGCAAGTGTTAGCTGGAGTTTGGCTTTGTAATTTGTTAGTGAAGTCCATCTAAATCTGCTAGTCTAGCAAAACTCTTTCCCTAGATCAGCGTTTCTCAACCTTTTTTCATTCAAGGCACCCTTTAACATTCTGCACAATCTGTTCTATTGGTTTTCTATAATGCAGCAACATCCACACATGTAGGACACCCAATGTTAGAGGTGATTTATTCATCCAAAGCAAATATTCCTTTTCAAACTGGTACTGACCAGTATTCCAGTGTTTTCTCCCTTAGTTTCTCTCCCTCACTCAGCTAATGTGACCCCACTGCTGATGCAGAGGGGCAGGGGATGGGGCAAACAAGGGTGCTGTGCAGGCGCCCAACTTCCTCCTTATCAACTAATCATGTAGTTGGTTGTTAGGTGGCCGGCAGCTGGCAGGTTGTAAAAGTGCGCAATGAAAACCTGTGGCTTTGTGTAACTAAAAGGCAGGCTAGCTTGTATACAAGTTTTGGGCAGTTTTGCCATATTGCCAAGGCACCCCTGAAAAAGCCTGAAGGCACCCTGGTTGAGAAAGGCTAACCTAGATTGACAATTCTGCTGTCCAAACGTGTTTCCCTTGCTCCCCCATAGAGTAGAGGCCCCCTAGGAAAGGAAGGGTGTTACTCCCTGGATCACCAGGCAAAGAAAAGCCTAAAAGATGAACTCAAGCAATACCATTACATTTAAAGTGGTAGTAAACGCGCCAGGACAAGTCCACATCATGTAAACCAGTAAAAAATTACTAGTTGGTGTCTATAAACGTTCTTTCAGGTGCACTGTTTAGAAGATATCGCCCACTCCTTGTTTCAATTATATCACTTGCACATGCGCACTGTTGTCCAGATTGATGGCACACTGAGCGTGCCGTCAATCAATACAGCTCACTGTAAGCACTACTCCATGACATTATGTTGTAATCCCGTGAGATTGCTGACCATTCACCAGTGCCTTGGTATAACTTTACCGAGCATACGCGAGATTGCTGCGCTGGGCGAAAGTTCAGGTAGGGAAAGGAGTGAGAGGACTCCACAAAGATGGCGGCACCTGAAGACAGAACGGGCTCCAGAAATAATAAACTGCAGAAAATGTAAGTTACATGACACTCTGGATTATCCCTATGTGTTTAAAAGTGCATTTAATTCAGGTATTATGCTTCTAGTGGCTTAGTTGTATTGAGTTTACTACCGCTTTAAGGAATGGTAAACTGTAAATATATAAAATGTTTGTTTTATAACATAACTATATCATCTTGACTAAAAGAGTTAATGAACTATAAGCCTTATTATAGGATTTGCCTGTCTTTTGTTCTTTTTGGTTCTTTTGGTCATTTGTGTATGTATGTTATTAGCAGCACAGTGGCTAAATGGTTAGTACTTCTGCCCATCAGCACTAGGGTCGTTGGTTCAAATTCTAACCATGGCACCACCTGCCTGGAGTTTGCATGTTCTCCCTGTGCCTGTGTGGGTTTCCTCCTGCACTCCAAAGACCTGCTGGTAGGTTAATTGGATCCTGTCTAAATTGGTCCCAGTATGTGTATGTATGAATGTGAGTTAGGACCTTAGAATGTACGCCCCTTGAGGGTTAGGCACTGATGTAAATGTACTATATATATGTAAAGCACGGCGTAAATTGATGGCGCTATATAAGTACTTGAAATAAATTAATAAAATGTTTTCAAGTATGTCTTTATATTTGTTATTGTAAATTGTTTAAAAATCTTTATTTTCCAGTGCAGGTAGTTGACATCTATTTGTAGTGGTGGGCCTGCATGTACGTAAGGGTCCCTTGTTTTCGGATCACTGGAGCAGTCATTGGATGCCCATATATGAGGATCTGCCCTAATTGCCTGGTTATCTTCCCCATTTAACCACTTGCCTACAGGGCACTTATACCCCCTTCCTGCCCAGGCCAATTTCCCGTTTTCAGCTCTGTCACACTTTGAATGACAATTGCGCGGTCATGCAACACTGTACCCATATGACATTTTTATCATTTTTTTGAGACAGATATAGCTTTCTTTTGGTGGTATTTAATCACCTCTGGGATTTTTATTTTTTCTTAAACAAACCAAAAGCCACTGAAAAGTTTGAAAAAAAAAACACATTTTTTCTTAGTTTTTTTGTTATACAATTTTGTAAATAAGTGATTTTTCTCCTTCACTGATGTGCGCTAATGAGGCTGCAGTGATAGGCACTGATAGGCTGCACTGATGGACACTGATAGGTGGCACTGATGAGGAGGCACTGGTAGGTTGCACTGATGGGCATTGCACCATTGATGGGCATTGAAAGGCAGCACTGATACATGACACTGATATATGGCACTGATAGGCAGCACTGACTGGCACTGATGGGTGACATTGAAAGGCAGCTCAGATGGGCACTGGTATGTGGCACTGATGAGCACTGGCACTGATGAGCACTGACAGGTGGCACTTTTGGGGCCACACTGATCATCAGTGCCCTGGTGATAAGTGGTCATGTCCCCTCCGCGGAAAGCCGATTACCGGCTCTCCTCTCGAGCTGTCAGTGTGACAACTCGAGAGGAGAGAAATGCCGATAACCGGCATTTCCGTGTTTACATGTGATTGGACACAGCTGATCACATGACCGAGCCGACATCTTCAGCTCTTTCCGTGATCCGCTGTGTCCGAGGGACACAGCGCACCGGCGATCGCCGCGCTGCACGCTCCCTGAGCCACGCATGCGCAGTGAGAATGGTAGGACGTCATATGACGTCCTATCAGAACGAGAGAACCACCTTGCGCCCGTCATTGTACTATAGGGTGGGCGGAAGGTTGTTAAACCAAGCAGGGTATTGTTCGCCCTGTTGGCTGATGTGGTTGGTTCCTACTGTTAGGTGGGTGGTATGCTCCTCCCACTGATGTCACTGGAATTATCTGTTATATCACTGTGTGAATGTGCCATACTTTGTGCAGCCACATCAAGGCTGAACTGAATGTCAGCGGTGGTAGCAAGTGGGATACAGAAGGAGGCATGCCCTATGTCTGGCTGCTGCCAACTGGGGGTACTGACTGCCATGGTTTTTCCATACATTAGAGATTATGGCAAGAGGGACTATCTATGGCAGTATGATAATCCTTTAGCTATAATAGACTATTCCGTTTATACATATCCCATCAGTCATAAAGTTATGACCACCCACCATAACATGACCAACCACCTAATATGGGGCAGGTCCCCCTTTTGCCATCAAAAACAGCCAAGACGTGTTGAGGAATGGACTCCACTAGACCCCTGAAGGCATTCTGTAGTATTTGGCACCAAGCTAGCAGTAGCAGATCCTTTAGGTCTTGTAATTTGCAAGGTGGCACCTCCATGTATCAGACTTGTTTTTCCAGGACATCCCACAGATACTCAGTTGGATTGAGATTGGAGATCAGTCAACACCTTGAAGACATCCTTTCAGTGCTCTGTGGTCCAGTTCTGAAGCTCATGTGCCCATTGTAGGCACTTTTGGCTGTAGATATGGGTCAACATGGGCACCCTGACTGGTCGTGGTAGTGACTCACAATTTTACAGCCAAAGAATGATGATAGCAAATAGCAATCATTATGTTGTTGCTTTGTCTTCATTGGCAGGCTAAGAGAGGAAAGGTAACCTGGGAAGCAGTATTTGTGCAGGCATTTTTATCCTATATTCACTCATGAAATAAATACGTACCATTAGGAGAAAAAAAGGTTGGACATACTGTATATCCAGTATAGGGGCATAGAATGTAAACACTGAGAATAGAGGTTCTACTTTAAAGCACACCAATTAGACCTACTGAAGTGTATAAAAGAACATTACTTGGAAAGTGCAAGTACTTTATCTGCAGGTTCCTGTGCTAGTCTCCAAATCAGTTTCTCTTGAATGGAAGGGGCAGGACTTAAAGCAGAACTAAACTCTCTCAATCAGCATGAACCATTTTAAATTCTTATGCTGCTAGCATCAGGAAATGGATAGGAAGGTATATTACATTTTCTTGCTTTAACCACTTGCCTTCAGGAGCACTTTTACCCCCTTCCTGGCCAGGCCAATTTTCAGCTTTCAGCACTGTCGCACTTTGAACGACAATTGTGGGGTCATATAACACTGTACCCAAATGAAATTTTTAGCATTTTATGACAGATAGAGCTTTCTTTGGGTGGTATTTAATCACCTCTGGGCTCTTTATTTTTTTTCCTAAACAAACTAAAAAAAGACTGAAACTTTTGAAAAAAAAAAAAAAGTTTTTTTTCTTAGTTTGTTATAACATTTTGTAGATAATTCTTCTCCTTCACTGATGTGCACTAATGAGGCTGCAGTGATGGGCATTAATAGGCTGCACTGATAGGTATTGACAGGCATCACTGATGGGCACTGAAAGGCAGCACTCATATATGGCACTGATAGGCAGCTCTGATATGTGGCATTGATGTGCACTGAAGGTACTGATATGTGGCATTGACAGGCAATTACAGGTGGCACTGATGGGGCTGATTGGCACTCACAGCAGTTACATGATCAGAAAGCTCCTGAGCGCAAGTCTCTCGATCGCAAGTATGCATCAGGAGCTTTCCGGTACATAGCGGTCTCTGTGCTGGGAGCGCATAGGGCATGTGCTCCCAGCACAGAAATATTTAAATTTGGAATGCATATATGTGGTCTCTCAAGAGTTAAAGCCCACCCACTGAGAGGCTGCGCATATGCGTACGGCAGGCGAAAAAAGATTAACATAAACATCCCAGGAGTCTTCATGTGAATTTTTTTTCTTTCATCTGGAGGTTTTCTCAGCTAAGCAGACCCTCCTGCTTGAACTAAGGGCAGATGGATTCCAGTAAGTAAATGCTACATGAATCATTTGCTGAAGATGGCCACAGCTAGAAATGCTAGGGGGGGTTTTTAACCACTTGCCATCCTTCCGCTGAACATTTACTGTGATGGGGCGGCATGGGCAGGCTCAATGTGTGTGTGTGTGTGTGTGTATATATATTATATATGTGTGTGACTGGCTTTTTCCGGGTCTGTGGGCACACGCATGTGCAAACCCATGCTGTGATTGGACACGAGCAGTTGGAGCACAATTTTGTCAACAGGTTTCAGCCAGTTATTTTTGCTAAAACCTGCTGATTGGCTGTGTCCAATCACAACCCAGAGTCCTGTGTTGACAAAGTGTCATTAGTACAGTGACAGTATTGGCACTGTATTAGTATCAATATTGATGGCAATGTCAGTGTCTCTCCCAGCCACTGTTGGTTAGTGCCATAATTCATGCCACGCTATCACAGTCCCACTCTAAGTCTCTGCTCACCACCATTACCAGTAAAGCGACAGCTGTATTCCAGTATCTCACAGAAGTGAGTACACCCCTCACATTTTTGTAAATATTTTATTATATCTTTTCATGTGACAACACTGAAGAAGAAATGACACTTTGCTACAATGTAAAGTAGTGAGTGTACAGCTGGTATAAGTGTAAATTTGCTGTCCCCTCAAAATAACTCAACACACAGCCATTAAAGTCTGAACTGCTGGCAACAAAAGTGAGTACACCCCTAAGTGAAAATATCCAAATTGGGCCCAATTAGCCATTCTCCCTCCCCGGTGTCATGTGACTCAGTATTACAAGGTCTCAGGTGTGAATAGGGAGCAGGTGTGTTAAATTTGGTGTCATCACTCTCTCATACTGGTCACTGGAAGTTCAACATGGCACCTCCGGGCAAAGGACTCTCTGAGGATCTGAAAAAAAAAAAAAAAAAAAAAAAAAGAATTGTTGCTCTACATAAAGATGGCCTAGTCTATAGGAAGATTGCCAAGACCCTGAAACTGAGCTGCAGCACAGTGGACAAGACCATAGAGCGGTTTAACAGGACAGGTTCCACTCAGAACAGGCCCCTACTATGGTTGACCAAAGAAGTTGAGTGCATGTGCTCAGAGTCATATCCAGAGGTTGTCTTTGGGAAATAGATGTATGAGTGCTGCCAGCATTGCTGCAGAGGTTGAGGGGTGGGGGGGGGGGGTCAGCCTGTCAGTGCTCAGACCATACACTGCACACTGCATCAAATTGGTGTATATGGCTGTCACCCCAGAAGAAAGCCTCCTCTGAAGATGATGCACAAGAAAAACCCACACTTTGCTGAAGACAAGCAGACTAAGGACATGGATTACTGGAACCATGTCCTGTGGTCTGATGAGACCAAGATAAACTTATTTGGTTCAGATGGTGTCAAGCGTGTGTGGTAGCAACCATGTGAGGAGTACAAAGAAAAAAGTGTCTTGCCTACAGTTAAGCATGGTATTGGGAGTGTCATAGTCTGGGGCTGCATGAGTGCTGCCAGCACTGGGGAACTACAGTTCATTGAGGGAACCACGAATGCCAACATGTACTGTGGCATATTGAAGCAGAGCATGATCCCCCTCCCTTCAGAAACTGGGCTGCAGGGAAGTATTCCAACATGAGAATGACCCCAAAACACACCTCCAAGATGACCACTGCCTTGCTAAAGAAGCTGAGGGTAAAGGTGATGGACTGGCCCAGCATGTCTCCAAACCTAAACCCTATTGAGCATCTGTGGACCATCCTCAAAACGGAAGGTGGAGGAGCACAAGGTCTCTAACATCCACCAGTTCCATGATATTGTCATGGAGGAGTGGAAGAGGACTCCAGTGGCAACCTGTGAAGCTCTGGTGAACTCCATGTCCAAGAGGGTTAAGGCACTACTGGAAAATGATGGTGGCCACATAAAATATTGACACTTTGGGGTTTATTTACTAAAGCTGGAAAGTCCAAAATCAGACTCCCTTCTGCATAGAAACCAATCAGCTTCCAGGTTTCATTGCCAAAGCTTCATTGAACAAGCTGAGGTTAGAAGCTGATTGGTTTCTATGCAGAAGGGAGTCTGATTTTGGACTCTCCAGCTTTAGTAAATAAACCCCTTTGGGTCCAATTTGGACATTTTCACTAAGGGGTGTACTCACTTTTGTTGCCAGCAGTTTAGACATTAATGGCAGTGTGTGGAGTTATTTTGAGGGGACAGAAAATTGACACTGTTATATAAGCTGTACACTCACTACTTTACATTGTAGCAAAGTGTCATTTCTTCAGTGTTGTCACATGAAAAGATCTAATAAAATATTTACAAAAATGTGAGGGGTGTACTCACTTATGTGAGATACTGTATAGATCAGTGGTTCTCAACCTTCCTAATGCCGTGACCCTTTAATACAGTTCCTCATGTTTGGTGACCCCCAACCATAAAATTATTTACCCAGTAATTATAATTCATGAGTGTCGTTTTACCTCCAATACTGCTGCTTTCAACACAGTAGCTGCTTTTAACAGAGTAGCTGCTTTCAACAAGCAGCTGCTTTCTACACAGTAGCTGCTCTTTACACATCGGAAATATGTGTCATTTTTTCTGATGGTTTAGGACCCCTGTGAAAGGGTCGTTCGACCCCCAAAGGGGTCGCGACCCACAGGTTGAGAACCACTGGTATAGATCATTGGTTGTAGACGCCATAACTTTTGCACAAACTAATATACACTTGTTTTTTTTTTTTTTACCAAAGACAGCAGATTTTGGCCTAAATTTATAAAGAAAGTTGTTTTTTTTGTTGGATATGTTCTAGAACAAAGTTTAGGAAAAAATATTTTCTTATTTCATTTATATATCAAAAAATAGAAAACCAGTGGTGATAAAAATACGACCAAAAGAAAGCTCTCTTTGTGTGAAATAAATTTCATTTGGGTATAGTGAGGCATGACTGCGCAATAGCAAGTTAAAGTAGCACAGTACTGAATAACAAAAAATGGCCTGGTCATGAAGGGGGTAAAACCTTCTGGAGCTCAAGTGGTTCAAGTGATTTCTCAACAAAGTAAAGCATGCCAACACAGATGGATGGGTGAGTTTGCTTTGTATATTAAAAATTAATAGCATTTTAATTTTGTGGTGCTCAGATAGATTTGTTCCACTTTAATATCAATAGCTGAAGCTAAATCTTGGGTTGGAAAGAAATTGAAGTCCTGTACACAGCTTGGACATAAACCCAGGGCCCTCCCCATAAACAGATTTGAGGGCAAGAGCAGATACTTTGCCATATTATACACTTTGATGGCCTTTAAAATTCAACTGGATTTAGAATTAAATCCAGTTGAACCTGTTTGGCTTTCAAAGTATTTTTTTTACCAGAAAAAGATAAAAATGTGTAATCGGGGAAAATATAGCATTGTGGCTACTAACTGGATGAACTTTACCTATAAATGTTATTATCCAGTTATATTGTGTATCTAAGAAAGAATCCAGGCCTTTTTTAAAGCAATCCACTGAGATGGCCAGAACCAACTCTTGAGGGAGTCTATTCCACATTTTCACAGCTCCCACTGTGAAGAAACCTTTCCGTGTTTGGAGATTACATTTCTTTACCTCCAGCCGTAAGAGTGCCCCCTTGTCCTCTGTGATGACCTCAGGGTGAATAACTCTACACCGAGTTCACTATATAAACCACTGATGTATTATACATGTTGATCATATCCCCCTTTAATCTCCTCTTCTCAAGAGAGAATAAATTCAGTTCCTCTAATCTTTCCTCATAGCTGATCTCCTCCATGCCTCTTATCAGTTTGGTTGCCCTTCTCTGTACTTTCTCCAGTTCCCCAATGTTCTTTTTGTGAATTGGTGCCCAAAACTGAACTTCATATTCCATATGAGGTCTTACTAATGATTCTACAGGGGTAAAATTATATGAAACAAGTTATTTTAAATGACATAAAAAATCTGGAATGGAATGTTCCTTTAAGTGGAAATATTATGGAGATTAAAGTGAGAATGGGGTGAGTGATTTATTCATGGACACTGTAAGAAGAGTGTAGCTATGTCTCTTGAATCGAGGCAGATTAATTGCTTAATTTTAAAGATGATAGCTGAATGGCTTGTTTGAGCGATGGCCTGACTTTTGCTCCAGTCTGCATAAATCTGCCTCAGCATGAATCAGCATAAAATAAGTTAACTAAATCTACCCGCACACTAGAAGGTATAATACAAAATCCCTACTGAATGTGTTTAAGAGGTACGTACTGACAGGTTAAATATCGTGTGTGCCAACTACAAACTGATTTTCAAAGTGACTGGCTTATTTATGAATTACCTTCTATTGTACATAGTCTACAGGAGGTCTATCCCTAGCAAAGAATTTAAAGCATACGGCCAGAAGGCGGAATTTCAACTTGATTTAGTTTTAGCAGCATCACTTGATGGATAATGAGATGGCTAGTTCTATGTGAGTAATCATATCTGGCCATTAGGGCCCATTCACACCTTACTGCTGGGGAAAACAAAAATCCTCCCTTGAAGTGGGGCTGGCCCCACATTGCAAAGGTCAAATGCTTGCTTACGTCTAGGAAACCAAACAATACACTTACCTGATCCCCTGAGCCTGCAAGTTTTTTTCAGTCTACTAGACCCATACAATTCGTATCCGTTCAACCCTACAATTCAATGGTTACATCCCCTTTGATGTCATTAAAGCGGAGCTCCACCCAAAAGGGGAAGTTCTGCTTTAAAGACTGGTCCCCCACTCCCCATTAAGGACTGGCACCTTTGGAGAGCAGGTACCTGAATTTGACAGGTACCTGC